GGCGGAGGGGGCGGAGGGGGCGGAGGGGGCGGAGGGGGCGGAGGGGGGGGAGGGAGAGGGCAAGCGAGACGGGAGTGGCAATGACGACGACCACCAGAACGATGGCGACCGGCCCAAGGACGGCGGCCCGCAGCACTCGGCTCACCACCAGGAGACACCCAAGTGCGGCCACGCCCATCCGCCACCCACGCGGCCGGCCGATCAGCAGCAGGGCAGCACACCCACCAGCACCACAACGCAACAGCCCCACCAGCACGCTCCTACTCCCGTGATCCCCCTGAGCCATCTCACGACTCTTCCCCTCCCATCCTTCGACACACATGGCCGACCCAAGCGCAAGCGGGACAACATAATGGTCTGCCACGCTGGACGGATTGGCGACCCCTTCCCGCCACAGCACACACCCATGGTCGCTCTCCCGCCCTTGATGCAGCCACAGGGGTGTGCAGGCGGCGAGACTGGCAGCGAGGGCCCGGCCCACAAGAAGAGGAAGGTTCGCGTCGTGCCGGTGCAGTCGGACCAGTATGTTTCTTCAGAGGGCAGCCATGAGCAGCAGGAGGGCATCGGCCGGCCGTTCGCAGGGCTGCTGCAGGACGGCTTGATCTTCAAGAGAGTGAACGGGTCGGAAGAGCTGGTTGCCATAGGCAGACGAACGGCATTTCAACCTGTTTGTGTGTGTGCAGGTGAGGTGAACGGATTGGGGGACAGAGCCAAGGCAGTCGACCCATGAGTAGTGTTCTTTACACCACAGCACGACAAGACATATCTTTTTGTGTGTCATGAGTGAGTCTGCACACCCACCCCATACGCACCCACTCGTTGACATGATCGAACCACACACAGTGTATGTGTGTGCGTGTGTGTGTGTGTGTGTGAGTGGAAGCGTATCTGTTTGTGTGTGCGTGACGGACGACTCAGAATCCCTTCTCCCCTTTGATGCTGAAATGTTCTGGAAACTTGTTCCTCCGCCTCTTCTCCACTGCCATCCTGTCGGCAGAAGCCCTCGCGTCCTCCAACCTGATCGCATCACACGCAGCACACCACACACGTGTCTCGTGCCACTTGTTGGCCTTGTGCTGTGTGTCTGCTTACTGCCACTTCTTGGGATTGATCAGCCGGTCTCTGGCCTGCTCGCGAAGCCATATCTGCAGCCATCCATCCATCCAGCCATCCATCCAGATAATCCCGGCCATGAGTGACAGTAGCCAAGAGTGACCTCTCTAGGATTGGGCAGCACCACCCCATAGCGTCCCTTGGTGGTCGTTCGCAGGAGTGCCGCCTCAATCTCTCCTGCCTCATCACCTTCCTGTTCTTCTTCTGCTGCATCCTCCCCCTCCTCGGCTGACGCAGCCACTTCATCCGCCTGTGTGGGCGATGCCTCAGCGGCCTCAGGCTTGTGACGACGAATCGTCGAAGCGCCCATCACCCTGGCCACACAGAGACACGAGGTTGAGAGGGCGTCTTTGCTGTGTCATTTCTCTCTGCCTGCCTACGCGGCTTTGGCTGCCAGTGCGGCCAGCCCTCTCTCCGTCTTGGCCTCGCGGCATATGTCCACGAGCTCGGTCATCCGGATGCCGCCCTCTGAAGATGTGGGCACCGGCAAGACATGGAGTGCTGTCGACAGGAGCTTGGGCGGCAGGGGGGCGGGGAGTGATTGTGTCTGTCTCTGCAGGTGCCTCTTGGTCTGGCCATTGGTGTCCTCCTCTGCTGGTGGGGGCTTTCTCTTGTAAGCCGTCCTCTCCCTTTCAAGCACCTTCCGTCGCTTCTCGAGCAGAATCGTGGCTGAAGTCGTTGATGATACAAACAGACACATGAGAAATGATGAGCCCATACAGATGCTTGTATGCCGCATTTGATTCATGTGGCTGGCTGACCGAAGTCAGGTGCGTCTTTCCTCTGTGTGGGCGGCAGCAGGTGTGCGGGGAGTGCAAGGGTGGACGGTGCGTCAGGTCTCGTCGACACCGGCGGCCGAGGGCAACTCGCATATCCCACAAACTTCTCTGCAGGGAAAAACGGTATCCATATGCACACCAATCGCTAGCGAAGAGGACACAAAAAATGGCGTTCATGTGTGTGCGCACGGATGTACCTGGGAGCACGACATTGAAGAGGAATGAGTTGGCCGTCTCCTTTGCCTGGTGTTCGGCCTCTTCCTCGGGCGTGTAGAGCTGCGTGTATGCAACGAACATGACGCGACCAATCCATACGCAGGCACGTGAGTGCAGGTGTGCTTACGATGCCAAAGTGCCGTCGCATCTTCGTGTCGATGAAGCCTTCACGCACGCACACACACACACACACACACACACATACACCACACACACACACACACACACACACACACACAGAGAGAGAGAGAGAGAGAGAGAGGAGCGAGTGTGCCATACTGGATGCATGTCTAAGCGCCTGCTGACCTGACACGTCCGGAACGAAGCACGGCACTCGCCGCCCCCTGCGAGAAAGAATGAAGACACCGACACGCGAGAGTAGGAAGGAGGGGGCCGCTTTCAGAGCCTTGTCAGCGTGAGTGTCCTTCCTGACCTTGGGTCGCATGTGATGCTCTTGCCCGTGCGCTGGTCTATCTTGTAGAAGCCACCCGTGAGGGCGTTCTCGCGAACTGACAACGCTGTCGCCATAACGAGGACAACTGCAAGATAGCTGAGTCACGTGGGTGGATGTGGGTCTTGTTTCGTGGCGGCTGCTGCTGGAAAAACCCTTGGTTTCGTCCCTGATCCTGTCCGAGACGGTATGGCCATTACCGGCCCGGCCGGGATAGTGCAAGCTCAATTTTCCTTCCTTCGAGGAAAAGATCTTGGGACTTGAGAGTGCTTGGGAGCCTGATCTGTGTCGCACGCGCTTTGGGGAGCTTGGGAAGGGAAAGAGGAAATTGCTCCTGCCTCCGACGAAAGCAAGCGGCGATGTCTGGTCCGTGCTCGCTTTGCGGCAAGTCGACTTGAGGGTGCTTGTCGGAGGAGCTTTGGAGTGCTTTGGCCCGGCCGATCCGGGGAGGGGGGCGTTGAAAAAAGAAAGGGGGACGACCAGGGAAGCACGCGGCGATGTCGACGTCGGGTCCGTGCTCGGTGTGCGGCAAATCGACGCAGTTTCGGTGCTCTCTCTGCAAGGTAGGTATATATAGAACGCACGGGGAGCGGTGATGTGGATGCTGCACGTGTCGGTTGCTTGCTGTCTGTCTGCAGTCACGATACTACTGCGGAAGCGCATGTCAGAGGCAGGATTGGCGGAGCGGCCACAAGGAGGAGTGTTCCCGCGATTGTGAGGGCTCACGGGAGACCCATGCCACGGAGATCAGGTCGACATCGGAGGGCGAGGTCTTCGGTCGCAGCTTCATGTCCTCCAAGCCACCACATGCTCAAGAGGCAATGGAGTACATCTGGGACGCCTTCGACTGTGGGGTGGACACACAAGGCTACATAGACAGACGCCGACTCGCCAAGAAGGCCCTCAAGATCGACCCCAACTGCGCCGATGCCCACTCGACACTGGGCTGGTGTCGAATGCAGCTGAAAAAGCTGTATGACGAGGCGCTTGTGCTGATGGACCGTTCGATTGAGGCGGCCTATGCGACGGAGCCCGGCCTCAGGGAGGCCTCGCAGAAGGAGGGCGTCCAGCTCCCTTGGGGCATCATGGAGAACAGGCCGTTCCTGCGGGCGGTGCACGGCAAGGCGATGGTGCTGCACAAGCTGGGGCAGGTTGACCCCGCCATTGGTGAGTGCCGCAAGATCCTCAAGTGGAACCCGAGCGACAACCAGGGGGTGCGGGTGCTCATCTATGACTGGCTGAAGGAAAAGGGCGCCCACCGAGAGGCCGAGGAGTTCAAGACGAGCTGGAAGAACAGCTGGGGCGGCTTCTGAAAGCAACAGAGCGGCCTCTCGGTGTGTGTGTGTGTCAGTCAGAGAGCGGTGCAATTAATGCTGTCTTCTGCCTAACAGAAAGGAGGATGGGATTGCCAGCTGATAATCGATCAGTGAACAATCGATTGAATGAATGGAACGGAATAAGTGAGTTCATATTCAGGGACAAATGATGCTGCAATACAGGATCGGTGTCAAGACAGACGACTGCACACAAGATGGCCACTTCTTAATTTCATCCAAGTGAGTGTAGCTGTCTGTCCGCATCCATCCATCCATCCACCCATCCATCCACCAAGCGTGTCGTTTCGTCCAGTGGAGATGCACTCCCAGTCAGTATGTCATGCCGAGTGCCAAGTGAATGCCAAACGATATGGGCCCAACAAGATGCTGCACAGATACAGACAGGATTGGTGTCAAGACAGACGACTCAACACACATGCCTACACACGATGGCCACTTATTCATTCATCCAAGTGAGTGAAGCTGTCTGTCCGCATCCATCCATCCACCCATCAATCCATCAATCCATCGTATCCTTCACTCAATCCATCCATCCACCAAGCGTGTCGTTTCGTCCAGTGGAGATGCTAGTCCCAGTCAGAACTAACTAGTAAGAAGTGTATCTCTGCAGTGAGGGCGGCGGCAGGGTGATGCCGCACTCATGACGCAGCTCGTCCTGACACACACACCAACATGTATACGAGCGAAAGAAGGCCTCCTCGCCTCACTCACCAGTGGTCTGTCGAGCCACTTCTCAACATAGACTAAATGCAGCGGCCTCTTGACTTTCCTCGCAGCATCAAACGCCTGCAGCACATCACCAACAGGGAGCACCAAGCACGTGTGTGAACGTTGATCGAAGCCACCATCTTCTCATCGCTGCCTGCCTGCTTACCCATGGCAGCAGCTCATTGAGTAGTATCCTTCTGGGGTAGAAGACCTCCCTCTTCTGGTACTTGAGGCCCTCAGCGGGACGCAGCGGCACCTCCAGAGGAGACGAAGCCGCCTCACTACTGCTGCTGCTGGTGGTGCTGGCGGGGGATGTTGACGGCTGAGATGGCTCGCTCGGCTGGCCTCTGCTCGATGGCCCTGCAGCTGTGGTCTCCCCCTGAGGCGCATTGGTGCTGCTGTCGATTGGTTCTTGCCGCACCACTGGTGCTGTGAAGGCCCCGACAAATGTGCTCAACACCGTCATCTGAGTGACGCAGGGGAGAAAGAGGTGGTATGCGTGTCTGTGTGCGCAGGTGTCCGTGTGTGGGCGTCACGCCACTCACCGGCAGCTTCGTTTGCGTCATTTCGATGGCCTTGAGGGCCACTTCGCACTCGACAGACGTGTTGAGGCTGAAGGCCACGTGCGCAAAGTCGTGGAGCTGAACCGCACAGACATCAACACGAACACCGCGACAGCCAGAGACGAAGTGGGTGAGTGCGTGTACTCAATGGATGGATAGCACCTACCCGACCTGTCTGTATCGTGTCATGACGTATGCCAGGTTCTCGTCGTCGACATACTTAACAGGGTCACGCTCATGCGGGTGGTACCCAAACGTGTCCAGGAAGCGGACGTACTCGCGACTGACCACACACACACACAATGGCTGCTTATGACTGCCCAGCAACGAATCTGGTCATCTCACTCATATTAGTACCCCAGTGTGCCGCGTGGCAGCTCTCTAAGCCGGTCCAGCCTGATTTCTTCTTCCCTTATCAGCGGCCTGTCGTCCAAAACACGCCTGCCCTCTGAATCAGCACTACAACCACACACAGACAAGGAAACACGCACCTACATAAATGCAGTGTACTTGCACCTTCTCCCCTTAGTGTTGCGTACGTACCTCATTTGTTTGTGCATTGCAATGAGGGCCTCCCTGCCAGTCACCTCCCCCAGACAGGCCACCAGGTCGGCCCGCATGGGATCATTGAATGCGCCCAGTGCGGAGCTGACGGCCAGCGAGAGCTTGTCGAACACTGTTGTCTCGATGTGGTGGTGGCTGAATAGTGACGTGAACTCACGGGCGCTCCGGCAGGCGAGTGTCTGGCGCAGCATCGACGCTGAGGGCGGGATGATGAATCAGAGCAGCACTACATGGACAGGGATCTCTTCCCAGCTCAGTCAGATCAGCCTTTTTTGAAGCGCCTTTTGCCAACTCCCTCAGCAGCAGCGCTTTCATGCACCCTAGGCGGGCGGCTGCGAGCTTGCTTCGAAGAGAGAGGAGATCTTCTCTCAGATGCATCGCTGTTGGTGAATCGATTGAGTGCAGTGAGCCAGGCAGGACAGCCGCAGCCGCAGCCGCAGCAGCAGCCGTCATGATCTTGCTGACGACGTTGATCAGCGTCATGATGGTCTTCATCTGCCTGACAGCATCCCCGGTGGCTCATGCAGCATCCACTGCACCCATCCTGCAGCCGCCGGCATTCCTCACGCCATTGCACCCCGCCGGCTCGTCGCAGTCATCGTTAAGACGGCTGCGACGAAACAGATCTGTGCCGCTGCCGTCTATTGCGATGACGAGCAGTGTCAAGGAGGCTGGGAAGGATGCCCACGAGGCTATTGTGGCTGACCGGGACCGCCAGGCTCACTCGATGGGGGAGCACATGCGGCGCTTTCGAATATGGAAGTTCACCAGAACCAAACAGGTCAGCCACACACAAACAGGCAGGCAGGCAGACAGACAGGTAGCACATCGATGCCCATGTTTCCCTCTCTCTCTGCGTGGTTAGGTGGCCACCCTGGGTCCGGCCACGGACACCTTTGACACGATTGAGGCGCTCTTTTTGAACGGCGCTGACGTGTTTCGTTTGAACTTCTCCCACGGCACACACGAGGAGAAGGCCGAGTTCGTCCGCATCATCCGCGAGATCGAGAAGAAGTGGAACCACCCAATCGCCATTCTCGCCGACCTGCAGGTGGGTGAGCAGCGGCCACACACAGCAACTGTGAGCACGTGTACCTGGGTCGTGTTGTGTGTTGAAACAGGGCCCCAAGCTGCGTATAGGGCTGTTTGACAAGGACCCGATACTCGTGGACGGCCAGCACTTCCGCTTCGACCTGCAGGACGACATTGGCGACGCCGCGAGGGTCAAGCTGCCGCACCCCGAGATCCTCGAGACACTCAGGGTGGGCGACGTGCTGCTCGTCGACGATGGAAAACTCAGAATGAAGGTCACAGACAGCCAAGCCATGAAGGCGTCCATCTTTGCAGACACATGGGGAAACGAATGGATGCGTGTGTGGGGGGTCCAGGTGCGTGAGGCCGGCGGCACGTATGTGTCTTGCACTGTGGAGGTCGGGGGCAAGATATCGTCTAGGAAGGGCGTCAACACGCCCACTGTCGTGCTGCCCATCAGCGCCATGTCTGACAAAGACAGAAAGGACGCCGTCTTCGCCAAGTCATTGGTCAGTGGTGGGGTGCACGAGCCAGCCCACATTTGTCCATCTCTATGTGTGTGTGTGTGTGTGTGTGTGTAGGGTGTCGATTGGATAGCGCTTTCATTTGTTCAGCGGCCCGAAGACATCGCAGAGCTGAGACAGCTGGTCAGGCAGGGAGAGAGTATACCCCACATCTGGGTATGTGCATGGTGTGTGTATACTGTCAGGTTGATGGTGACGTCAAGCTGATAGCCAAAGTGGAGAAGCCGTCGGCCGTCGAAAAGATCGAAGACATCGTCAAAGTAACAACCAACACACACAAATCCCCCACACACAGATCATGAAGCATGAGTGTGTGCTGTGTGTGTGTGTCTGTCAGATAAGTGACGGCATCATGGTGGCCCGCGGCGATTTGGGTGTTGAGATGATGCCCGAGGATGTGCCCATCATACAGAAACAAATCATCGACAGATGCCGACGGGTAGGTAGAGCCAGCCAGCCATACTACCAACCACCCACACGCGGATGTGCTCTGGCATGGGCGTGTGTGTGTGTGGTGGTTGCAGGAGGGACGACCGGTGATAGTTGCGACACAGATGCTCGAGTCAATGATCGACAGCCCCACACCCACACGAGCGGTGGGTGCACTACACACACAACACACTGTATGTCACATCAGCTGACACGGGTGTGTGGGTGTGGGTGTGTGCGTGTGTGTTCAGGAGGCGTCTGATGTGGCGACGGCGATATACGACGGCGCCGATGCGGTGATGCTGAGCGGCGAGACGGCGGTGGGCAAATACGCCACTGAGACCGTCAACATGCAGCAGAGAATCATCGAACGGTAACCGCACAGACACAGCCACACAGAGGAAACACACGCTTGCTCATGTGTGTTATATATACATCAGTGTGGAGGGCGACCCTCTGTATCGCAAGCGCATCGACGCGCAGGTCTACGACCCGGCCCGCACAGCGACCGACGCCATCACCGTCGCTGCCAGACAGGTCAGCAAGCCGCACAACACCCACCTTGGCTGCTGTGACCCCTCTCTCTCTCCCTCTCTCTGTGTGTGTCTTCCTGCAGGTGGCCGACTTGACGCGTGCTAAGGCGATAGTTGTCTTCACATTGGGCGGCACGACGGTGATCCGTTCGTCCAAGGGCCGCCCACACATACCCGTCATAGCCGTCACACCCAAAGTCAAGACGGCTCGCACACTGCAGCTCTACTGGGGCGTTTACCCCATCGTCGGTGCGTCTGTCTGCACGGGCATTGCCTTCATGTGTGTGTGTGTGGATGGATGGTGTGTCGCCTGTGTGGTTGTTTGTCTTTCTCCTGTCAGAGGAGGACACAGACACGTTGGAGCAGTCGATTGACCACATGTTTGAGAAGGGGTGTGAGGTGGCCAGACAGGAGGGCATCTGCCAGTCCCCTGACGACCTGCTCGTCATCACCGCTGGTAAATCCACACACACACGGGCCGCCAGCAACGCACAAACACTTCTCCTTCCTGGACGTGTGTGCACAGGTCTGCCCTTCGGCACACCTGGCGCCACCAACATCCTCCGGTACCCATCGCACAGCACAGCACAGCACAGCCTGGAATGCAACATCAGATAGAGATGGCATGGCTGTGTTGGTGTTGGTGTGTCGCATGGCATGCAGTGTGTGCCAAGCGGCGGGTCCCAACGTGTGGGATGTGGACAGCGAGCAGGCCCACGCCGGGCCGCCACAGCAGCTCCGCATCGAACCCTTGATGGAAGACAGCAGCGAACCAGACGGGACGGCATTCTACTGAACGACCTGGCTGCTGTGTTGGGGACGGGATGGGGCGGGTTGAGGCAGCAGGGAGGCAGATGTGACGCAAAGGTGTGTGGGGTCATCACCTACTGGTGAGTTTTGACACCTGGCCCACTCGACACACAAGACAGGATGGGAGGGAGGGAGGGAGGGAGGGAGGGAGGGGAAAGCCACCCAGCCGTGTATTTATCAGACCTATCGCTCGGAAACAAAGAGGGAGAAGGCATTGGTGGTGGTATGTACCCACCCGGTCACGTTTTGGCTTGCTTCTGGAGGCAGGCAGGCAGGCAGGGAGGGTGCATCCATACGTACATACGTACATGTGCTGTGTGCATGTCATGTACGTGTACATGTGCGTATGTATACATTTGAGGTGAGGGGGGGATCGAGGGTACATGTACATGTACATGTACGCGTGTGAACCGTACATCGACCCATACAGACAAACAGACAGACGTTGACCAAGGCCTAGAGGCAGGGACATCGATGGCTCTCTCCGTGACTGACTGATCGACCCGATCCCGTTCCCTCTGTTTTCTTTATCACCATTGGTAGGGTTGGCCCATTGCTGGCTTGCTTGCTTGCACTGAGTGAAGGGCTTGTACATAGATAGATAGGCTGTTCGTGGTCCCTGGTATGGTATGTGGCTCGAGAACCCTTCGAGCCATGCATGCATGTTTGATGACGCTGAGTGACAATTTTGCGAACCTGATAGATAGATACACGCATCCCTCTCTCTCTCTCTCGGCCTGCATGTCTGATAGATGGTGGACATTTGTTCCTCTGCTCGATCGACCACCATTGTGGGTCACACAAGACTACTGATTGAAGAATGCAATTGATGCGCAGATTGATCACTGAGGTATTCGATAAACATCACAGACACGCATGCGTGCCGTCAAAGCTAAACCTCACAGTGAGTGAGTGAGTGAGTGACACACAAAGCCCGACCCCGGCCAACTCTCTCCCTGAAAACAGAGACACCCAAACGGCTCAAAACGCCAGCTACCCTACACGCCTCTTCTCTGATTCACTCGTCCTCTTCCTCGTCGTCCTTGTCGGCCTTCTTCTTCCTCTTCTTCTTCTCCTTGGGCGGCTCAGGCTGCTTCTCGAGCGAGAGGATGAAGCTCCACTCATCCGCCGACACGGGCGACACCGACAGGCGAGCCCTGTGCGCAGGGCAAGGGAGAGGAGGAAGCAGGGCACACCACACAAACAAACATTGCAGATGGGTGGATACTCACTGGCTGGTTGCTGAGGCGCTCACAGACTTACCGTGTGAAGAGGTGCATGTCCTTGAGCTCCTTCTCTTTGTAGCGCTTCAACTCCTGACACACACGCAGAGGCAGCTCAGCTAGGTGTCCTGACAGTTGTCACCGTCTCCTGCCTGCCCGCATTGCCGTCCGTATACTTCGAGTGAAATCATGCGCTCCAGCTCACGCTCAAACTGCTCAGACAGACAACACGTACACAGAAAACCTGTTACCTGTCTGTGTGTCTGTGTGACGCTCACCTTGACATCGACCATGTCCCACCGCGGGTCCTCCTTCTTGCTCTTGGCGTCGTAATGGGGGTTCTGCGCATGGGATGGGTGCGTGCAGTCGTATGCGCGTGAATGAATGGGTGAGGTCAGGCCACCTTCTCGTCGAACTGTGTGTGGTCGGGGTACGCCTCACGGACAATCGTCGCGATACCGACGATACCTACACAACACACACACACACACACACAAAGGGATAGGCCGGGCCCCCTGGACCAGCCGCCAGCGTACCTGGCACCTTGCAGTTTGAGTGATAGAAGAAGGCTTTGTCGCCGACCTTCATCCCTCGCATAACATTCCGCGCCTGGAAGTTGCGCACGCCATCCCTGAGCAAGCATTTGCTGATAGACACTTGACCCTCCCTCCCCTCCCTCCCTCTCGGCTGCTGCTGACCACTCGGCCGTTTGGTCGGGGGACTCCTTCAGGTCGTCGATAGAGAACTTCATGTCCATGCCCTTCTCCATGCCTGCAATGCATGCGCCACACATACACAGACGCAGAAGAGAAGACGCCGATGTCACTGCATGACGTGTGAATGAATGAATGATTGGCTGGCTTACGAGAATCAGGTTCAGACTTCATGAGAAAGTACCGCGGTCCGTCCGCGGCAGCTGCAGATGAGGAGCACTCGCCTGCCTGGCCCTCTGCAGCCTCATCCCGCTTCCTCTTGGCTGGCATCAGGTGCACCCTCCGAGCCCTCGGCAGGCGATGCTGGCTGCTGACAGTGCCGTCGAGCGGAGATCTGTCGATGAAGGAAAGAGATGCCACAGAGTTACGCCCCAAAAAGGCGGCGAAGATAAGGGTGAGCGCCACGTTTCAGCTCGCGATCATTCTGGGGCCGGTTCGGGGGGGGCGTCATTGGTCCCTTCGGTACCGAGAGCGGCCAATCTACGGCATCCTTGTCCTCATTGACGGAATGGCGCTCTTCCCCACCTGAAGGAGCCGTGTGATGATGGCGCTGAGGGCCCTCTTCCGCCGTCATCCAATTTGGGCCCTGGCGGCTGTGTGGCTTGCCGCCAACTTGGTGCCCATGGCATTCTCGAAAGGGAAGGGGGGAAAGGGAGCGACCACAACCACAACCACAACCACAACCACAACCACAACCACGACCACTACGACGCCTGCGCCGACCGGAACCAACCACTACGGCACGCCAGGTAAGCACCAGGCTGAGTAATGGATAGATGACACATATGTGCGCATATGTGCGCATTGTATGCAGCCGCCGGTGACTGGGTTCACCGGCCCCACTCATGCTCTTATTACTACAGTACGCACACACGGCCCGACGGACAAACACAGGCATCTATAATGATTCTGTTCGTTGCATATGTTGTGGTCCAAATGTGTTGGTGTCCTTGTTCTCCGCACTCAGTCGACACGACGGTTACGGAGAACTACGTGAGCTCGCTTGCTCACTCAGAGAGGACACTGGACGCACTGCAGCCCCATTGCACTCATGCGCTGTGGTGATGTCTTGTGAATTAAGGAGGACCTGAGGTACTCCTGCCAGCAGGCCAAACCGGAGTGGGACGGTTCGCTCGTGGTCATCGACGATGGCTATGAGAGCCAGTGGCTGGCGGACCACCTGCGGGCCGAAGGCGACGAGGACAAAAGAATGTGGGTCCGATACACGCGGGTAAAAGATATTGTGTGTCCACACAAACAAGATGTCTCTCATAAGCCTATCTGTTCACATGTCATGACATCGAATGCAGAAAGGTCCTGATCCCGGTGAGGTACCCAAAAACATGCCTGATATCGGGGGCTCATCGGCGGAGCGGGGTGGGTGGGAGCCCAACGAAACAGCATTCTGGGGCTGGGACGCCCCGAGCACTGGCCTGTGGGACGTCTCGTGGGACGTGTCTTATCCCTGGGACAATTTTGATGGCGACGGGGCCCTTGCTATCGTCAAGGGGCCTGAGTATGAGGTCCCGGTAAGTATGCAAAACGATCTTCAAGAGACGGGCATGTGCACATATACTGGACTGGGTATGGGTGCTCCACATATGTCGATCAGTGGCACCTGGTACTACAGACTAAGGACAGGACCCAAACCTACCGGGCAATGGTATATGGCAGCCAGACAGGCAGGGGCAGGCGAATTCGCCCTGTTCTCTCGATTGTTGAGCACTTCCCCTCTTTTCTTTCCGTCATGCTATGTATGTATCCTGTCAGTGTGAGAAGCACGAGCCCAGCTGCGGTGCGTGACCATGGCCAACCAACCACACTGGACCACAGCCAAAACAAAGAGATCATTTTGCAAGTCTCGTGTTTATTTGTGCAGTGGAGCCCCCATCGGTGCAAGTGCTGATGCCATCTGTCTTCCCCGAGGATGCTGAAGCCAACTATTTCGAGGTCACCATCCGGTTTTCAGAGGACATTTCTGGTCTGGCCTTCAACAACTTCACCAACCTGACGAGCTGGCAGACACTCGGCGGCGTCAACGGAGTTATCGCATTTGTTTCACAGCCAACCAACAGAGAGATTGTCGAGTGGATATGGCCCATACAGAAGGGACGCGTGACGATTCAGGTGCCGGAGAATGTATTCTCACGTAACTACGGAAATTTGGACCACAACAACCCGTCGAATATCCTAACAGTGTACCATGGTGCGCTAGACGAAGTAATGTGAGACATGAATCAATCTGTGTTTGTGTCCTGTGCACGTCGTCAGGCTGCGGGATGCTGTGGGGGAAAGGTTTAAGTCATACCGCAATTGACAATACAGACGCTTACTCCTGGTGGCACTGTGGCCGCCTTTGTTATGAGACCCCTAGCTGCAGATCGTTCAGCTTCGACGCCCGGAATGGCCAGGTGGGTGGCGGACCGGTCCCAGCTCCCTGTCGCCTCTATGATCAAGCCGAGCTCAGTGGCTCAGTAAACCCCGCTCAGGTCAGCTCCGCGAGAGCCTGCGCCGTGAATGAGGGTAAGATAATTCCATCGATCTCGTCCCATCCCATTGTCCCCTTCCGTGCTTGAAGATGTGGAGGCACCTGAGGTGATGATAGTGCGCGGCGTTGACGCGAACGGGGGCCCCTTACCCGGCGGGAGCATCCCCCACTTCTACAACAATCCGAACTACATCCACCTATTTGCTGGTATGTGACAAAGAATGGAACACAACAGGACAGAATCTGACCCCAGTCAGCATCCATCACATCAAATGCATCACCAGAGTTTCACTTCACCGAGCCAGTGAATCACGTTGACCCCTCTGATCTGGATATCCAGTGCACCAACTGCGCTTTCGACGGGGGCATTGGCTGGGTCAAGGTCGGGCCTGTGGACAAGGAGAACGTCACATGGCCATTGTGGAGCGATCAATGGCGAGTGGAGGTATGTAGGGAGGTAGGTCGGTCGGTCGGTCAGTGCGTTGGTGGGGAGGTGGACTCTCTCATGTCTCTGTCCTTCAGATCCATCTGGATGAATTGCCACCCGGGTTCACCACCGGCAAGGTCGTGATTGGACTCGATCCTTCCCACGATGTGGCGGATTTTTCCGGCAACCTTGTCAGCAATACTCCTGCGACACTAGAATTTGTCATTCAACCCGCAGGTCACACTCATACACACACGCACGTCACCCACCCAGTATACAGAAAATCATCATTCATCCTGTTGTTTCTCGCTGCAGATACTACAACAATAGGGCCCCCAACATCTCCCGTCAGCCCACCAGGTAAGCGTCAATCACAGCCACCAACCAGATATGCCTCCTTCTACTTGTGTCAAGATGAGCCTACCCCTACAAACGGGCCACCAGACCGCCGAATGGACCGCCAGATGGGGGCACAGGGGGGACGTCTCCGCCTCTCCAGCCAAACATACCATTTGACCAGGTAGAGATTTCATCTGGCGGCTCGGATGATGGCGATCCAGCAGAAGGATGTGAGATTTCTGGCACACGAGGTATAAATGCAGACATGTGCCTTTCAACTGCCTTCTTGTGACTGATGCCTTTTTGCTTGCAGATGTCCGTTTGGCCTGTGCGGCATCACAGAGAAGAAAGTTCATCACTCTCGTGGAAGGCAGCTATATAGCTATTGTCGAGGGCTCGACACACGATGACACTCTGCGGGGCAACAGCCAATCCAACACCCTCATCGGTGGCGACGGCGCAGACATACTCGATGGCCGTGGCGGCAGCGATGAGCTGGTGGGGGGCGGCGGAGCCGATACCTCTATCATCGGTTTAGAAGAGGGAGACGTGACGATACAAGACTTCGATACTGGCACCGTTCACGATCAGCTCAACCTCGCCAGCTTCCCCTCAATCACGAGCATGAGCGATCTTCGAGAGAGAATGACCAGCGGCAGCGTCATCATTGACATTGACAGAACCCACAGAGTGCGCATCCTCTATCGCACGCCGCAAGAAATGTTGAATCCCAAGTATTTCCTGCTTTGGACTCCTGAAGGAGACGATGCAAGCGATGAAGCAGGCGACGACGAATGCGGCTGGTTTTCTTACGCGAAGCCCGAGTGTGTGGACACAATCCTTAGCATCGTCGGGGGTATTGTTTTTGTGGCTGGTCTTTTTCTGGGGGCATGGCAATTCCTCGTCAAATGCGTCTGGAAGAGCTCGGCTCCCGCAGAGACAGAAGAAGAGCAAGTCAAGGTCGAGGCGAGAAAGCGCTCGATCTCTGACACACGCGACTCACGTGCCAGAAGCTCCCTCGCGACCAAGTCCGAGCGGAAGGTAGACAGAGATGTAACGGACATCGCCCGGGAGGAGCAGCATGATGTGGGCCCCTCTCACGTGACGCTGTATGAATCGAAACAAAAGGCCGATTCAAGTACACGAATTCATGTATCTAAGCACGTGTTTTGACGGATTTTTGTTTGAGACATTTTTACATGACGATATGTCAATTGCCTCAATCGTCATGTGCAAACAAAGGGATGTCTCTGTGTTGGATTTTAACTGCATTCAACACATTTCGATCAACAAACCCTGCTCAGATGCTGTGGACATTCCTTAGCTACTGGTGTTCCTCTTCGCTGGCACCGTTGTTTTCGCCATCCATCATTGGTACGTGTCCGGGAGGGAGGGAGGGAGGGAGGGAGGGAGACGGCTTGAATGGGACTCGTCTCTGTCGTACGTCTTTGTTTGTGTCTGTGTGTGTCAGGTATGAGTGCCGTGTTGGTGTTGGGCCACGCCATCTTCCACAAGGGCAAATGCGAGGAGGAAGACGAAGAAAGTACGGAACACTAGAACGCAATGCGTTCAGTCTTCCTCTCTGTGTTCGTTTCTGTGTGTGTGTCCTGCAGCTGGTATCTGAGTCACCATGACTTGTGACGGGGGGTGCTTTCAATCCTACCGACCGACATGTGTGGCTGGCTAGCGTCTCTCTCGTGTGTACAAAAGGCGGCTGCCTTTTTCCCAGCGAGAGAGGAGAGCTGTGTGTCCTTGTACAGTCTAGCAGAGGGTATCCCCCGGAGAAGCCTCTCCCTTTTTCGGTGTAGTTTTGCTCCTAATGTATCGATCAATGCATTCACTAAGAGATTTCTTCTTGTCTCGTTGGCTGCCGCTGACGCACGGATGTGACACCTCCGCCTCGCCCTCCATGCCTTGGGGGCGTAGCGAGGGTGTCATGTCCATCGCCAGAGACAGTGACAGACAGGAGATGGAAGGAGAGTCGTGTTGGTACGTCGTGTGTACATCGGGTGGCATGGGTGAGTATGTCTTGATGACGACGTGAATGTCTGTCCTCCTTCCTTTCCAGCCAACGGGTAGTGCGTGCGATGCCTGCCGTCGGCTGTCGCACACAATGCCACGGGCGTCGCAAGCATAAGGGGCAGCCACATGCATGAAGGTCATAAAGTGATCGCTTTCCCACGTCACGAGAGACCGAGACCTCGACGTGTACGTAATGTCATCGACAGCCCGTCATCCCGCGTGTGTTTTGCGTGTCAGAGGTGGGAGGGACATTTGTCACCCGCCGTGAACATTGTGTGCGCATTTGAATGGGAGAGTGCTCAAACACATCCAAGCGTGTTGGTGCCTGTGCGATCTTTGAGGCCCCGATCCGCGTCTCCGTCCACCCAGCTCGCGTCTCTCCCTTCGGTTCCAGTCGAGTTGCGTCAAGTGCCCCGAGCGTCCTCTGTCGCAGCCAATTGGTCGCAGCTTCTTTGAGTCGTTTCGCTTTCCCCTGAGCCCGCCGCTCCTGCCTGCCCCGGCGCGTCCCCTTGCAGCTGCAAGTCACTCTTCCCCCCTTCTCCTCTCGCCCCCTCGCTGCATCGAGGGGCCCGGCCGCTCTTGCCTCCAAGTCACTCTCTTCCCCCCTGCCTGGCTGATGGTGCTTGCCGAGCTGGTTGTGGGGGCTGTGTTCTGGTGGGGTCTCGGAGGGGCGGTGTTTCTGCGTGTCTGGACCGACTCCAAACACGCAGCCCGTCACCGCCGTGAAGCAATGAAGGCCTTGGAGGACCTCATTCAAAAGGTATTGACTGAGGGGAGACGAGAGAGGGAGGAAGGAAAGATGGCAAGGAACGGAACATCTCTCTCTCTCTCTCTCTCTGTGTGTGTGTGTGTGTGTGTGTGTCGTCCGTCGCAGTTCCAAGCCTGTTTAGACGAAGATCTGATGGACGCCGTGACAACATACAAGCAGATGAAGACACTCTTGGTGAGTACAAGACGAAGGCAGGCAGACAGACCCAGACATGCGAGAATGCCATTCAAGGAGATGGCTGTATGTCTGTGTGCATATCTTTCAGGCCGAGATATGTCAGACTCAAGAAGTTCAAGAAGGCCGGGGATGGACAGTAGGCACCGCACAGCAAGCATCTGTCTACCGACATCAACCATTGTCCTTCCGGCGTCTCTCCTCTTGTATCCGTGCAGTGGTCCCCGAAGGATATTGAACGGCTGGCGAAGCTCAAGGACATTGTCACCACAACAATCCCGACACACGTAGATTAACCACAAACGATAATACTCACCGCTCACTTCTCGGAAGATTGATGTGAGCGTATGTGCAGGTGAAAATCTTGGAGAGTGTGATGGACCAACACGGCACAAACTCTATTATATCGGCCACCGCGAAGCGTGACAACACCAAGGCATATCCCTGAGGAAACACACGAGCTGACTGATGGACAAACACGCACATTTGCCAATGTGTCTCTCCGTATGTAGGAGGAGCTGAAGATCTCAATCACCCTTCGAGACGACAACACACAGCGGAAGACGGTAGGTGGTTATCCTAACCCATCAACGCGCGCGTGTGTGTGTGAATGAATGTTCGCAGCTGCTTGAGCACCAAGAGACGACCACCACAACGGCACCTAGCGGTAGCTCAGAATCTCTCAACAATGCCTGATCGATAGCGCAGAAGTGGGTGTAGATGTCTCTCTTTGCACCATACTTGATGGATCCACATTATCGTGAATCTCTCTGTATGTGCCTGTAGGTACGCGCTGTGGGTGGCTGGCTGACAAGTCCTCCGTCTGGCTGCTTTTTTCTACCTGCAATCGCTCACGTCTTTTCTTATCTTCCTGGCTGCCTTTTCCTACCTGCAATGCACGGCACGTGCGTTTGCTCCCTTCCTTCATTTATGAGTGCCTTCCTGCCTGGTTGGCTGGTGTGGTGCATTCATATCTGACGTGTCGCTTGGCTGGCTGGCCAGCTGAGCGCTTGGGTCTTGCTTTGAGGGAGTGAGAGGGTGAAGAATGGCCGGCGGGTGGGAGATTATTTCTCGTCCTTAGGCTCTGTCTGTTTCGTCAATCGTGTCTTGCTGCACACGTACGGGTGCATTGCATCTGTTACGTGCGCCCCTCCCCTCTGAATCCTTCCCTCTCTGGCTTGACCAATCAATTGCATAGTTTCTTGGCAATTGCTTGGTTAGGACGTCATGGGATTTGCTGCGTTTTGGGCAGGTGTGCATTGGGTCGTCTCGGATCTCTCTACCCATGGATGCGCCTCATGGCTGCCTTGTCTTGTCCGCGACTGACTACCGCACGCACGTGCGTTGGGCTCTTTTTCCGTGTTTGCTAGGGCTATCTGTTGCTCGCATTTCCATGTGCATACCCGAATTAATGGCCGATTCAACTAATGGCGCTGCCTTGCTTCCTTTCCGGCCTCTGCCTTGGCTGCAATGCCGCTGCATGCGTGTGGAGCTGACTGTTCGTTTGCACCTGCCAATCAATACAGCCATTATCTCCCTCTCTATCCCTCCCCTTGTGTGTGTGCGTGTCTTCTTTCTCGGCCCCGTCGATTGTTGAAGGTGAAGGTCTCGCTGCCTGGTTTGTATCCTTCATGGATGGATTTACGACTGACTGCCTGTCTGCTGTGTGCTATCACAGCCTTGCGGCAAACTTCCCCCGGCTCTTGCTAGATAGACAAGCCCAAGCTGCCTCTCCCTCTTTGTCTTTCGGTTTCTCTTTCGTTGGATGTGTGTATGTTGTGTCTCTCGCTGCGTGTGTGTGTGCGGCTCTTTTTTCTTGTTGCGTACAACACGCACATAGTCGTGGACGAATACAGAGATAGCGAATTGACAGAGAGGTCTGCTCACAGTAAGCGGGCCGGGCATCTGTCCACCGTCACAGCCAGGCACACTGACTACTTTCTTTTCATTGAGACACGAGGCTCCCGGCCATGGACGGCCGATTCTGATTGTGATTGCAATCTCATCGATTAGAATCCATCCATCCATCCATCCATTGGTCAATTTAGGGGTCTCAACATTTGGAACCGTGCGAAAGATGGGGATGGGGATGGGGTGGGTGGGGGTCTCCGGCAGTTGGTTAGTGCATGAAGGACAGGCAGGTGAGAACGAAATCACGATCTGTCTTGCTTGATGAGGGGAGGGACTAGTTGCTGTTTTTGGTGGACATCTCATGCCCTCATGATGCCTACGGGTTCGACTTCCCTTACCAACCTGTGCGCGGCCGTCGTCTGGCTGCCGCGTGCACATGTGTGGCTCTCTCTCTCTCTCTCTGTGCGTGTCTCTCTCCTTCGGTGTTTGTGTATGTATGGTGTGTGGCAGCACCATCCCTCTTTTCAACGGCTGCATGTGTGTTTTTGTTTCCTGGCCGCCTGGTGTCTGACTGAGTGCAATGCATCGACTGACCGGACGTGTTAATGCATACATGCATTTCTGAGTGAGCATGTTCTTGTTCTGAGTCGGTAGAGGTGTCGATATGAATTGATCTCTTACTGTACACGTAGGGCGCATGGATGGCTGGCGGTGTTGGAGACCAATGAGCGACTGGCTACTGATTTTGCTGTCTCATGGCCCGCGTGTCTCACTGTCGCGTGCATGGCTGTTGTGTGGTGCTCGGAACAGCCGCCATGTCAGATGTGTCTATGTTGTGCCTCTTTTTCCCTGGGTGTGTATGTGTGCGGCTCTTTTCCTGTTGCATACAACACGTACATACTTGCGGACGAATACAGAGATAGCGAATTGACAGAGAGGTCTGCTCACAGTGAGCGGGCCGGGCATCTGTCCACCGTCACAGCCAGGCACACTGACTACTTACTTTTCATTGAGACACGAGGCTCTCGGCCATGAACGTATGTACACCACATGCACATACATAGTGTGCCTTGGCTTACACCGTGCCCCCACCGTGCCCCCACGAAAAAACTTTGAACGACAGCTTGCATTCTCTTGCGAAAAACGGATTGAGTGTATTAGTGTGCGCAACGGCAGTCCAATGGAGGCGGTCTGTGAAGTCACCATCAGTGACGGCATCATAGTCGCAGAACACACCGCCCCGCAGGCAGATTCCCCATCGCGGGAGCATCATGTTACGAAGCTCAGTGACGAGAGCACGGGCGCAACAGCTACTGCTGCCGTGGAGACCTGTTCAGAGAAGGGGGCCGGGGACAATGAGGCCGGAGAAGAGGGTGGACAACCATTGCGGAGGGAGGAGCGCGAGTTGGCGGCCATGGTGGCTGAGTTTCGACTCTGTGCGGGACCTGCAGTCTCCTTTCAGGAGTTTGAGACTCACTTACGCTATGAAGGGGATGTTTTTATTGGTGCTGTATTCACCCCGGAGCCCTTTTGGAAGGCAGTGAGGCGGACGGCAAAGGTGCTCGTCTCCCAAGTGGCCGGTGCGGCAACAATCGCGTTTCTCTGGGCTCTGGTTTGGGTGGGATACTGGTGGGTCTGTGCGAGAGGACGGTGGATTGTGCTTGATGTTGCTCGCCGCATTGTCGCTGTCCTATGCTTTGTCACTATGGTGCTACTTACCGCTGAGGGTAGCCTTCGTGGGGCCCTCCATCGCTTGACAACCACGTGGCCCTTCTTTGCTCCCACCATGATCATACACGTCGGCGGTGCTGTGTTCTTCCACGTGGAGGCCTTGTGGCCTTACCGCATTATAATTGCAGGTTGTTTCTATGTGTACGTAGGGCTTGTCCAGCCAGTGATGTAAGAAAGGGAAGAAATGAAGGACACTCTTACAATGGCAGCTCACACTCCTGTGTGCTCCCTGCAGGGTCTTCCGCCAAGTGGCTCTCACTTCGAGGACGGTCGTAAGAAAACGTCTTTATGTCATGCAGATGGGGCTCGTATTTTTGCTGATAGTGACTTATGCGTCTTCAACACGATCCTGCTTCCTACCGCTTGCCCAAGACGCGGCGAGCGGTGGCGAAAATAAAAGCATTGTCGTCATCACGTGGCTGGTCGCAATGTCGCCCCTTGTTGCACTCTGTAAGGACATCATAATGCACCATTCTCGTAGCCCTTCAATTGTCTTTCAGTGATGGCGCTAGTACGCTCATTACGCGACGGTCCCGCACTACAAACGGGTCTAGCGATTTCTTATCCGGCGGTAGCTTTCGTTCTGTAAGATCAGACGTTCTCTATGTATTCCCTCACTGACCAATGTTTTGAATCTTCTATTCTCAGCTACCCACGGATCGTACAAGCAGAGATGCAGCATCCGTCGTCTCAGGTCAGTTGAACTATGCTGTCTGTGCCTTGTTTAAATTCCTCTTGCTTCTCTCGTCTCTTCCCAGGTTCTGACTTCGCTTATCTTCGCGTCGTTCGACTTGTTGACCGACATGGCCATCCCATATTGTTAGTACATATATGCACACATGAGACGTATATGCGACCATCGCGGGATTAATGCTGTCTGTCTGTATGTATGTCTGTCTCCGCATGCAGTGATGCTTGTTAGCGGTGCGGCTAAGAGAGCTTTGGTGCGGTGCCTGTCCTCATGGAAAGCACGCAGGAAAGTCCGACATCAGCATTCAAATGACACGTCCCACACCATCGCTGCCGAAGACACCGCGGAAAACGCTGAAGAAACAATCACCGACAAGCAGCTGCCGGCCAAACTGCTCAGCCGTCTGTCCACTACGGTATTGAGCTTCTACACAGGGAGTCGCACAGGTGCCAGCGCTCTCTTCAGCCGCCAATCGCTGAGGTCCCTGAGCTCATTTCTCGATGTCCCCACACGAGTTGTCCAGTTCAAGCTTCACCCGATATTCCTCAGGAGGCTCAGCGACGTAAGGGAGGAGCATGTGAATTGTCTTTATACCTTCAAATCCCACGTCTCCCCCATGTTCTGGCTGATTTCCGTCGATGGACGATGAATGCAGCAGATGCACGCTTACGGCTTGGCGGAACTAACGGTGCTCATTCTCACCAACGCATCTTTCATCACTCTCGACCAGGTGGTGTCTCCATCACTTCCGCAGCTGCTTGAACGAGTGGCTGGTCTGCTGATCATGGTGCTTATCGAGGTGGTCTTTGAGGGCGTACTATTCGTTTGGCTGGTCCGGTCCGCCAATTTGCCTCTCCTGAGAAGCATGGCGGAGCCTGGGTTTATGAGAATGTATGTACTCGGACTGGCGATCGGCGGCGGCATAATTGTGCTTCGTGGAGGGCCATACTTTGTCCTGTGGCACTTGAGCACTCTGGACGAGAGCAGGTATGGCCAAATGGGGACGCAGGAGTTCTGTCCGTACCACTCGACCCTGCAAGACCTGCCATAGGCTGCATGAGACTTGTGTATGCGGGGAAATTAGAGATGAGTGGTAAACGACTGACAGTGTCTGGTCTGCCTTGCCAACATACCAACGGTATGGCATGGCACAGGGGCCTTTTGCTTACGTCAATGTGTCATTTGTGGCGATCAAATGTGGACGATGCTAAGACACTTCTGACGGGAGTGGCCTTGATGTCTCTGTCTTTGAAATCTGTATGCCAGGCCGTCTCGCTGATGTTAGCTGAAGAATTTCTTGATGTCTGTCGTGTCTCTCCTCATTCGCAGGGGCCGTGTCTCGTGGACAGGGGCATGCAGTGTGCGGCTGTTAAGTCACCCAGGCTCGTTTGCCAAAGCGGACCAATCAGTGTGCACGTCGTAATGGGGTGCAATGCGCTTAAATGACGTCTCACACATACAGACTTGGTGCTACACCACACACACACACACACGCGCATACACGAGGGACAGACAGGCAGACGTGATTCGGCCATCGACAGACACGGCAGAGGAGCCAGCCAGGAAGGCCGGCCAGCCCATCCTCTCAAACATGACAAACAAAACCTATCTATGCATCCACCCATCTCTGTGTGCATCAGTGTGCCTCCTCCTCTCTGCTGGTTGTCGCCTCAGAGTCTCGCTGGCTCGTCGGCTGCGCGGCCATCTCGACAGCCACTCGCCCACCATTCCCGCTGCCGCTCCCATTGCCGTTGGCAGCAGTGCCACCAGGTGGCTCATCCATTTCGACCACCGGCTCGGTGGTGAGGGTGAGGCCGTTGATCTGCCCCCTGCCGACGGATGTGACGCGCTGGTGTGTGTGGCCGACGTGGATGACCTCGCCCTCTCTGGGCGGGTGGGAGAGCCGCCGGTGGGTCTTGAACTTGAACGACACGAAGCACTTGTTCACCTCCTCCAATTGGATCACCTGAATGCGGCCAGTCAGTCGTTCGAAAGGAGACACGCGGCGGTCGTCAGTTGTGTGTGGGTCCCGGCTGACTGGCAAACCTGTCCTTTGAGGTTGTCGAGCAGTCCATATGCCTCTGTGATGGTGACGTCGTTTTCCAGGATGACGTCGAGCTCAACCAAGAAGCGGGGGCCGAAGTGGTAGGCGCGAATGGCGTCCAGCTGACCCCTATTCGTCAATCAATCAACACGCCCACACACACGGGAAGAATGTCTGTCTGCGTACGGGCGCCGCGCCTGTATGTGTGAGAGCACACCACACACCCACCGGTCTGTGAGGCTGCTGTGTGCCAACGCAACGGCACGGTCGTAGAACTCCGGTTCTGCAGTGTAGCCCGACAGATACCTGAGTGGACACACACACACATGGATGGATGGATGGAAGAAGGGACTGGACGGACAGACCTGATTTGTTCCTGCAGTGTCAGGATCCAGTTGAAGCAGATGTAGGCGGCGATGCAGACGGCCCCGCCGTCGTCCAGCCACCACAGGCCCCACGACGACTCAGCCGCCATCACAACCACCAACGCAAACGCATTGCTGCACACACACACATCGCCACACAGCTGCTAATGTCCGTGCTCTGTGTGGTGAGCCCCTGATTCATTCACTGGCTGACCTGATGGCGTCGTTGCGATGGTCGTCCCTGAGTGACTTGACGGAGTCAGACTCCCTCGCGAAGACCGAACAGTAGCCATACAACACCAGCTTCAAAGCGACAGTCAGGGCCAGAATGACTCCGACGAACCATTCGTGAGGCTCGGCGGGCTCCTTGGGAGGGCCGTTCAACAGATTCTGGATCGAAAACACTATCAGCTGCAAGCACAACACACACACACACACACACACACAAACAGACTCATTGGCGAAATCCATCCATCTCTTGATGCGTTAGTTACTGTTTGCCGACCTGCAGTGCGGATGTGCACATGAAGGTCGCGAAGACAACGAGGGAGATGGGCTCGAATTTGGTCTTGCCGCCGGGGAAGCTCTTTTCTGGCTGGTGCGTCACCATGCTGACACCCAATCGACTCTGTGTGTGTGCTCTCCTCCATCAGCCCTACCCCCCCTCCCACCATGAGGTGAAGAAAATGATGAACAGCGCGAGGATGTCGAGCATGCTTTCGATGCACGATGCTATCACCGTCATTGACTGATGCGATGCACCACATGACATGACACACACCACAACAGACAGACGATGGACCGACCCCTTCCTCCTTCCCGCCCTCCCATCCATCTCTCCACCAACTCACTCACCCCGGTGGTGAGTGCTGCCGTGATTTTGACGCAGAAGAGGAAGACGTTTCCGATGAAGCTGGCCTTGATGCCGATGTCCACAAAGGTGTTGGCCTTGCCGCCCTCAACCACACCGCTCTGCACCAGATGCAGCTCGCCGTGCGGCCGCTTGAACGGGATATTGTCCTGCACACAGCACATCACATACATACACAGACGCAGACACACACACACACACATACGGATGAGTGAGTGAATGAGCGGATGATGTGTTGTGTGGCATATCGGCGAGAGAGAGGCGACCTCCTATATTACCTCGATGTAGATCCATTCGATGGGCCCATGGTGTGAGAGTGTGGGGTGGTCCACATTGACGGTGTACACCTTGCCGCCCAGATCTATCTCGTAGTCGTGCTGCCCTTCCCTTCCAGGCGGCATGCGAGAAGAAGAAGAAGAACCACCACCAGCAACAGCAGCCGTCACCGTGGACTCCGAGCCGCTTGCGGCCTCCTGGACAGCAGAGTCGATGAGTCCACGGCGCCCTTCATCTCTCCCACTGCCGTACTGCATGCCGACTCTGAATGAGTGATGTGTGCGCAGAGCCGCCGCACAGATTATAGAAGTTGCCGACTCTTCAGATCTGCCCAAATGCTTCACCAAACGGGCTCTCGTCTTCCCCTTTCTCCTTCAACCCTCCGACCCTCCCCTTGCGAGCTTGGAATGCAGATCTCCGGCAGGCGCTTTCGCAACGATGTCAGCCTGTGATGTGCCAGCAGAGGAGCGGCCGCAGCAGGTGCAGCAGCACGCTGCCGACAAAGATGAGCAGCGGCCTGGTTCGAACGAGGACCACCAGATGCAGACGACAAGTGAGGAGGAGGGGCACGTCAGCGAGGGCATGGAGCAGTGGTGGCGGACGGTATGTACTCATATATACGGGAAAACGGCACACATGTATGTGCGGGAGTCCAGTCATGAACGACGCTGCTGGCATCGCGCGTGTGTGTTTGCAGATGGAGGAGTTACCGATGGATTTCGACAAGTGGATGACGGCCATCAAGGCCGCTGAACAGACGGTCAGCGGCAGATAGATGTACAGACAGACAGACATGCATGCCACGAACAGACAGAAAGGCAGTTACTGTGCGCATACTTGCATCATGTGGCCGTGCTGCATGACAGACAGACACCGCACTCATGTCTGTCTGTCTGTCTGTCTGTCTGTCTGTGTGTGTTGATGAGATCAGGAGAGGGCAGACGACGTGCGGGAAACATACAAAAGGGTACGGCGTGCCATTCCACACACGACAGACAGACAGACAGACAGAGAAGCGGCATGCGGCTTGCACGCGTTTGTTTGTTTGTTGTGTTGTGTTCATCAGTTTCTGCACGAGTTCCCCCTATGTTACGGCTACTGGAAGAGGTGGGCTGACCTCGAGGGCAATACCAACCCACAAGAGGCACTCAACGTACGCACACACACACACACACACACGACACACACGACACACGCTGCGTTGATTGCGTGTGTGTACCTGACTAAGGTGTACGAGAGGGGTCTTGAGATGATAGGTCAGAGTGTCGATCTGTGGCTGCACTACATCACATACGTCATGGACTTACACCAGCACACCACCACCACCACCAGTAGCACACCCGAGGCGCAGCAGCAGCAGCTACGCGACCTCTTCGAAAGGGCCGTGCGGCGGGTCAGTCAGTGAATACACACAGACAGACAGACAGACAGACAGAACAGACGGACGGTGTTTACTTGTGGCGGCTTACAAGCGTGTGTGTGTGTGTGTTGTGTGCAGGTGGGTCTTGACTGGTCGTCCAAGCCACTGTGGGACAAGTACATCCAATTCGAAACGGACAACAAACAGTGGAACAAGGTGGGTGGGTGGGTGGGCACAGATTGCGCAAGGGTCAGTCAGTCATCACAGGTGTGGTGTGTGTGCATCAATCTCTCTCCTCCAGGTCAGCGGCATCTTCCGTCGCATCTTCCAGTCGCCTATAAACGAGCTGGACAAATATAGGCACGCACCCTGACCTGACACACACACTCGTGTGTGTATCTGCGCGCGTGTGTCTGTCTGTCTGTGTGTCTGTCTGTCTGTCTGTCTGTGTGTCTGTGTGTCAGGGAGCGCTTCCACGAGTGGGCGACTGGCCGTTCCGTGGAGGCCTTGGTGGCGGAGAGTGAGCAGCCGATGCTCAAGGAACTCAGACACAGGAGACAACGAGAGGTACGCCACGCCAGTCAGTGACAGTGACACACAGAGAGACCCCTCTATGTCTGTCTGTCTGTCTGTGTATCTGTGGTTGGTAGGAGGCCAACAAGGAGCGCAAGGCAGCCGAGAAGCTGCAGAGAGAGGAGGGCGAGCGCATGAAGAGGGAGGACGAAGCCTCCACCAAGTGGGAAATGGACCTGCGGAGGAAACAAGAGGCCGGTACGCCGTCCGTCCCCACACACCTGCTGGACCCCACCACACATGGAAGGGTGCATGGATGGATGGATGGATGGATCAGATCGGCGTGAAGCAGAGGCCGCCCGTGCGCAGGCGGCTCTGTACGCAGAGGAAGAGGAGGGCCAGCTCGACGAGGAAGACGACAAACCTGCTTCCACTGCAGCACAGCCACACACGAAACCGGCTGAGGGCCACACCGCCGCATCCCAGACAAGCCAGGACGACCCACGGAGCAGGCAACGGAGAGAGGAAATGGTACGCACACCCACGTAGAGCCCTTCCCCTGTGTGTGTGGGTCCATCCATCCATCCGTCCATTCCGTGACTGTGTGTGTCAGGACCGTTGGTGTGCAGAAGTGGCTGAGAGTCAGGTCCGTCGGCTCGCCGAGGAGCGCCAGGCGAAAGAAGAGGCCGCGCGCAGGGCCGAGGTCGAGTGGCTGATGCAGCTACGGTACGGACGGCAGCACCAAGCCATCCATCGCACCCACTCGGCACCGATCGACTCATCAATGACACGTGTGTGTTTGTGTTTGTGTGGGTCAGTGAGGACCTGTACCAGGCGACGCTCAAGCACGCCGAAGCGATATGGCCGTTCGAAAGACAGGTACCTAGCTCACGGGCGTGGTCCTGCACTCACGCCGTGTGTGTGGTCATGATCACATGTATCAGATTCGGCGCACCTACTTCCACCCTAAGCCGCTCGAGTCGGCCCAGCTGCAGATATGGCGCGACTACCTGGACTTCGAAATCAACAAAGTGAGAGAGGCCGGGAGGAATATATATAGGGAAGGGATCGTTCCTCTGTCTCATCTGTGTGTGTGTGTGTGTGTGTGTGAATCAATGGTCTGTCAGGGTGACGCCAACCGCATCACAGCCTTGTTCGAGCGCTGCCTGGTCGCCGCAAACAATTACGTCGAGTTCTGGGTCAAGTGAGCCGATACAGACAGACAGACAGACGTGCCTGCCCACAGCGGCACATTGATGGCTGGATGACTGACTGGATGGATGGATGGATGGACGCGTGTCCTGTCGTGTCGTCTGAGTGCCTGCAGGTATGCCAATTGGTGCGAGAGCACTGGTGACATCGGCGGGGCGCGCCGCGTCTACCTCAGAGGCACGCAGACACACGTCAGAAGACGGTCAGCCACCCACACTCCCACACACATACACACGGCATCTCTGTCGTGTGCTGTCTTCGTTTGTTTGTATGGGTGTGATTGCTTCAGCCCGGAGCTGCATCTGTTGTATGCCGATTTCGAGGAGAGCCACGGCAATCCAGAGGCGGCCAGGCGGACACTCAGCAGCGTGCTCGAGTGAGCTGAGCTGCCAATGTCACATAGGTGCATCCGACAGAGAGAGAGCGTGTGTGTGTCCGTGCCGTGCAGCCCAGTGCCATTGGTTGAGGGCTACTTGCGGCTGATCCAGCTCGAGAGGCGCCAGCGGAACATAGCCCAGTGCGTCAAGCTGTACGAAACGGCGCTCGCCGTATACGTAAGTAGGCGGTGGCCACACACCCACACGCACATGACATGCATGGGTGGGATGTGCTGTGCTGTGCTTCCAATACATACGTCTTTCATGTGTGTGTGTGTGTGTGTGTGTGGCCAGAGCAAGTCCTCGATGGGCGAGCTGACGACCTTCCTGACCATCTCATTCGCGCGGTTCCTGGCTGACTGGGCGGCAAGTTGGCCGCGGGGTCGCCAGCTGCTCGAGGAGAGATGGCGGCAGCAGCCGGGCAAGCTCGAGGTGCCCCTGACGCTCATACAACTGGAGATGATGCACGCCAGTAGGCGCACACACACACACAGGATGATGCAATCCCTTTGGATGGATGGACGATACACGTGTGTGTGTGTGTGTGTGTGTGTTCAGGGGATGATGCCGCCAGTGAGGACCGCATCTGCCGGTGGTTCGAGGCGCTCGTCGGCCCACAGCCTGGAAGCAACCAATCGGTGGGTTGGTGAAGTCACGCGATTGTTTGCTTCATTGATCCCTTCCTTGGTTTCTGTCGTCCGTCATCCATCCATCCAGCTGACTGTGGTTGAGCAGTCTGACATGTGGACACGCTACGTGGACTATCTCAGCGGCTACGGATCGTCGATGCTCAAACTCAGACGCGTCAAAGTAAGCAAATGGTCGACAGACACACTCACTGTGCTGCTGCGGCTCCCATTCTACTCTACCTACATCTCTCTCGCTGCTGTCTGTCTGCCTCCGTGACGTCATGCCATGCAGGACCGTGCGCGCGCCTTCCTGACCACACACCATCGTGAGCTGCAGATGGAGTTGGGCGGCCCCGCGGCAGCCAAGGCGGCCAAGGGCGCACGTGCAGGCAACGTCAACCTGTCTCTGCTGCTCAATGACGGCCGCAAGCGCGCCAAGCGCCATGACGCCGACCATTCCCCGCTGGATGCGGCGCCGCCCAACAAGCGGGCCAAGACAGCCATGGTGGAGGACCAACATGGTGGCCATACCACCACCACCAGCACAGATGATGCCGACGCAGCAGCGTGGAGCGACTACCAGAAACAGCTGGCGTCCTACCTGCAGCAGCAGCTGCAGCAACAGGGGAGCCAGCAGAGCACCAATGGCGTGACTGGCGATCCCGACGAGGAGACCATGAAGGATGAGGACGGGGAGGGAGAGGGCGAGGGGGGGATGAGTGCCGAGGCGCAGGCCGCTCTGGCCGCCATAGCGTGCATGCCGCAGCTGCAGCAGCACCTCCAGCTGCTCCAACAACTGCAGCAAGGCGGCCATCTGGAGGAGGGAGGGGAGCAGCCACACGACAGTAGCGGACAGATGGACGAAGGGATGGAAACACATTCATGAACAATTAGAATACACCGCGAGAGACGAAAAGGATACTATATCAATCGAACAGCGAACGTTTGCGTGCTGCGTCCGCGAGGTGGAGACAGCAAGCTTTGGCCATTTCACGTCCAGACCAGCTTCGAAGCGGCCGGTGTTCAGAAGATGCCTTTTGCCCCTGATGACGTACAGGGGTTCCTGAGGGCTGAGACGGCTTTTGCTGTCACCCGCTGAAGGCGGGTCAACTTTTGTCTGGTTTCTTTCCAGTTCCCTCAAAAAGGCTTTGTTTGCCAATGTCCCTTCCGTCTCTTCCGTCTCTTCTGTCTCTTCTGTCTCTCATACATTTCTCTTCGTTTCTCTTGATTGAGAAGAGTGGGAAGAGTGGGAGACTGCAGAGCAAAAGCGGCGAATATAGAAAAAAAAAGTCAAACAAACAGCTGCCAGTGCGTGTGTGTGAGTGTGTGTCCCTGTGTGTGTGTGTATGCAGGTGTGTGGCCACAACTTGCCCGTGGGACATCTTATCATCCCCACGTCCATCAGAGATCCCAGCTTCCAGGTTCCGCCTCCCGTTCTTCTTCATGATTGACAGACAGGGACACACACACTCACGTAGACAGACAGACACAGGGCGAGAGAGGAGAGAGGGAGGGGGACAGATCTGCTGACAGCGTTAGATAGCTGACCAGCGGGACACACACATGGGGGACACACAGAGTTTTATTGGTCATTTTGGGGTGTGTGCGTGTGTGTGCGTGTGTGATTTGGGTAATCCCATCGGCTGTCTGTGTGTGGCTGGGCATGCGTGTTGTGTGTCGGTGGATGGATTGCCTGTCTGGCATGTGTGGTGGTGGCCGCGCATGTCCATGTCCATGGCCCGGCTGCAGCGTTGCATTCACATACCCATGGATGGATGGATGGATGGACCATTTTCGTTGCTTTACACCATCAAGCGAAGCGCACCACGGACAGGTTGACGTACATGCAGAGTTGGGCCTCTTAGACACACACACACACACGCACACGCACACACCACACACATACATGTTCACCCAACCCGCCCAACCCCACACCCGTCCCTTACATCCGTTCTTGTCCAAGCGCGATGACACGCCTCACGTCAGCAACTGGCCTGCCTTGTTAAGCATCCACATCATGACGGGCTGTTTGCCCACCAATGATAGTTCAGGACCACAGAAATGCAAACAACACTGTCTGCGTACCGAAATCTAGCCGGCATCAAATCCGAAAAGGTCATCAAAAATGCCATCATCGAATCGGGCTCAAAGTAGTCATCTAAAGCGCCTGGATCGGGTCGTGGACCGGGCTCCGCAGGAGCGGGCACTAGTGGCTGCCGTGCCGTCGGGGCCGGGGAAGAGATCGGACGATGTGGCTACGGGACTGACGCACACCTCACCCAGGGGATACCCTGAACCCACCAACCATACCGACACCTCCTGAACACGGCCACACACACAGAGACAGATGGGAAAAGGGGATGGGGTTGGCTAGCTAGTTGGCTGACCACGTCTGCGTCTTGATCAGTGACTGGGAAGATGGCGATGGGCAGCTCCTCATCGATTAGCGGCACGATGGCTAAATCCTCATCCACGTTGGGATCGTCATCGCTCTCAGTCGCTCTCAGCATCGCTGCCGCCCACAATGAAGCTGCATTCGTGTGTGCATGACCCGACGCACAATCAAATGAGTCTCGCGCTATCCGCTAGCCCCGGCCCGACT